GGGGGGGGGGGGGGGGGGGGGGTTATTGAGGGCTCCAGGAAGGGATGGAAGATCGAGAGACTTCTTTCTTCCTATAGATATCACATTCCGGAGGCACTTCAAGAATTACCCTTGGTATACAATTTTCTAGGGAATTATTACACCTTTGGAGTGTGCAGAATGAGCACTCAATCACGTTTTGCATGCACATCAATTTCACCGTTAATCCGACGCACAGTGGATCGAGTCAATGAGAGAGGTCGGACATTAAATGTTTCACTAAAATTGCAAATTTTGATGTTTCCTTCGTCACAATTTTAATTTTAAGGGAAGTCTTTAGTTGAAAATTTCACGAGGAAGCCAGTGGAAGCTCTTTTGGAACCTCGAAGTTTCGTTTAAACGGAGTTATAAGCTTTCAAAGTTTCCAAATATTGTCCGACTTCTCCTATTGACTCGATCCGAATGCTGTGCGAATGCTGTATCCTCAATCTTCATCAAAGAGGAACTAAGACATAAATCACACGTCTTGGTTGATATTTAAGTCTTTTACTAAGATTTTTTTGGTACCCAATTGGATTGCATTTTGCGATTTGGAACTATAAATCTGGCTCATCTGAAAAAACACTTATGTGCCTAGGGAAACTAATGGTACATACGTTGTTTTTAAACCGGGCCAGGATTTACAGCTCCAAATTGCAAACTGCAGTCTAATTGATCATGATTATATTGGTGATCCAATGGTTTAAATCAGGTGAAGAAGCGGTATTTGGCCCAGATCCAGTTGCAGATGTACATGACGGGACGGAAGAAAGGGCTCTTCTGCGTGAGCGCACCCGATTTCGAGACTTCTCGTCGAGTGGAGATCATCCCCGTGGAATTCGACAGAGATTTCACCGAGGATCTCGTCGAACGGGCCACGAAGTTTTGGAAAGCCAACGTTTTCCCCCTTCTCACCGCCATCAAGGGGGGCAGCCAGGGTGGTGACGCTGAGGCCCTTAATATTCGTCCGCTGAGTTGCTAAATATGCTTCAACCTCTTTGGAGAAAAAATCTTTGTGCGTTTGCCCCGAAGATCAAGTCAAATGGATCTCTGAAGTTTTCGGATCGCACATTCGAAAACTTGAGGTTCAGCTGCTGAAGCTCGGGTCACATATCGGAAGTACTTCGGCACTTCGGTTGAAACGTCTATCAAGTCAACCGAAGTACTGAAGTACTTCAGATGTGCGGTCCGAACTTCGGCAGCTGGACATCAAGTTCTCAGATACACGATACGAAAACTTCAGAGATCCATGTGACTTGAACTTCAAGTCCCACTTGGAAGTTTTGTACTCGTGGTGGATTCAAATTTTCCATCAAGTCAATTGTTTACCAGGTGAAAAAACGTAACTGCATCTTAAGATTGCAAAATTGACTTAAATAATATATTTTTTTCAAGGATGTGGCCCTGTGGTTTCTACTCAAAATGTTGCTGATTTTTGCAAGTAGTTCAAAAAGAATCGGTGCAATTTTCGATTAGAAAAGCCCAACGGTTTCTTGCCAAAAATATAATTTTTGAAGGGAAATTATGGAACATTGAAATATAGTTACGTTATTTTGACTAGAAAATAACAAATTGCTGTGTCGTCACGATGTGATGGTTTTCAGTTCGGCTGATTGCCGAGTTATTTCTTCGATTGCTTTATGAATCAATTGTATTATCAATAGTTTAGAGCAGAAGGGTCGTAACTATATTTTTCCGTCTTATATACGAGGAAACTGCTCAGTGGTCCTAAAAATTCCCTCGCAATTTACTATTTCTGAAATTCCGCATCTCTTGTCTGGCGTTAGATATCATTTCCAAATTGTTTCACCCGTATTGAGCCTCTTCTAAGCCTATGAGGAATAAAAATGAATCAATTTTTTCAAAAATGCGATTTACAAATACAACCTTTTTGCTCCAAGTCACTGATTTTATCATGCGAGTTAAGTTTTATCTACCTATCCCAGAAATTGCGTGGATTTTTCCGAAATGTCCTCCCAGAACTAGACTTTTTGCATGGACATGTTACAGGAATATTTGGAAGCATATGAAAATGCAAGTCTGATAAGCTCTTCAAACACTTATAAGTTTGCTAATTTGAATAACCCTAATAAAGAAATACGATAAAAATTTAACACTTTATTTCGTTCAGCTTTTTTACAAGTATTTACAAGATACTTACCTTATGACTTTAAATTAAAACAGGAACACTGGGAAAAAAATGTTTGGCTTACTAGTCGTATAATAATTTTAAAAACCTTAACAAACGAGTCTGATTTTATAAGCGTCTTCTAGGTAACCTTTCAGGAACCTCAGGCGGTTCTTTCATTGAGGCACTCCAAGCTCCATAATCACAAGCTTTATAATATAGGGCGTAAAATAGCACCTGGTCAAGAAATCCGTATTTAAAGTTTATTTTTGATTATGGATACATCATTCAATCCGGATTCATTGGTCGGAGTCGTTGCTCCGACTAATAAACCTAAAGCTATAGCTCTTAAATCCAGAATTTATTATCTCTGATTCCAGAATGGGCGGTCGACAGTCTGTGATGTGCAACCCAAGATCATGACTTCCCATTGGCAAATCTGATTAGGATTATTTTCGATTGGGATTGCCCTCCATTGTGACATTAGGGTGGTTCATTGTGACGTCACTTGAAATGTGAGTGCTAAGTCTCAGCTATATACGGGATGATCCGAGATCAAATCCCCAGACCGCAAACCCCCCTGAATTTTCGCAACGGCAATGCACCGAGTCTCATGAAAGTGGGTGTCCATCCTTGCCATTCGATTCGCTGATTTGGTTAGTGGCATCAGAAAATCGATATCTTAGACTTGGAGAGGCCGATAACCCGGTTTTTGTCGTATGAAGATAGTATTTTGTGGACCCCTCGAAAACCTAGTTTTAACTGAGATTTCGATTGTTTTAATGTCACTAATGAATTCAGTTTATCAAATTATGGTAACGTATCGATTTTCATGAGATTTGATGCATGACCATCGCCAAAATGCAGTAGAATCGATTTGAGTCCCGGCATTTTGTGAGGAGGGGGGCTGGCTGTAGCCCTGGGAGCATCACCAATAAATAAAATTTCACAGGTAAAAGTGTTATTTTGATCCATAGGACACGCTCTTGTTTCGAGGCGGGTTAACCTAGAATCACCGTGCGCATTGTTTCTGACTGTAATTCCCTAAGAGAAGGAAACTGGACCACTCGTTTTTTCATCGGGGTTGACCTCTAGGTTAGGGGTACTGCTCGAAGTCGCAATTGGTGCGTTTGCTACGTCGCTTGTTCCATTGGATGGCTGCTTCGACGACGCCCGTGCTCCGGAGGAAATCCACGGCGACGATATTGCAAGTGCGACCCCAACTTCCGCGGAACCACATCGTCACGGCCCCGTTCACCGTGTGCGCCATCTTCCGCAGACCGTCCAACCGATTCAGGATCACGTCCATCGTTCGCGGTGTCATCTGCGCCATCGCCGCCCATTGGTACGCTGGACGACTGCGCAAAAAACAAAATATTAACTTTAATTGGACTACATTCGGACGCACTCCTGCCAAACGGAACTATGTGCATTATGACGAGTGATATTATGAGTCCTGTTATTTTTTTTGGGGGGAGGGGGGTCAATTTTTTAGGGGGAGTTTTTTAGGATTGGGCCAAGGTGGCGACCGCCACCTAGAATAAGGAACTAGGCAAGTGTTGGTGATTTTGCCGATGTGCGTTAAATTCAGTACACGGCTTAAATTCTCATCGTAACTAGTCTTGCACTAAACAGCATTTTTCTCCAGGAGGGGCTATCGTGCTCAAATGCGCGAGCTGTTCTCTCTGAAATGAGAATGGAGAATTTGCAGGTGCCTGAATTTGATGAATTCCGCATTAGATGGAAACTACTGAGTGAACTAAACACGAGGATATGCCCTCGGTTCATAAATTTAGCAATCATTATTGAAGGAAATATGAGAAAATGATCTAATCTGCTGAAATACACGTGTTTAAATGGGAATTGCCACTAGATGACGTCACTAGACGGTGCATTTTCTCACTTTTACATTTATTTTCAGACTATTCCCCGTATTAGAGAGTAATTATAAAAAATACTGAAAAATCAGCTCTTCAAACACTCTTAGATGAATCAATAAAAAATGTGTGTGCAAATTCTCTATTTCAATTTTTACTGAATTTAACGCGCATTATCAAAATCACCGACACTTGTCTAAAAACGACGCACTATCCGCATTTTCTTCATAATAAGGAACTAATATTTTTGGCCCGTTCCGGAAAGCATCTATCTGCGTAGGTAGTATCAAAGTGAGGAAGGAAGAGCGGAAGGACATAGAAGGTGATCAAAGAGGAGAGGTGACGGAAAGAAAAGTAGGGAAAAGAAATATAAGGAGAAGGAGGAGAAAAAGAGGCTGTAGAATAGAATGAAGAAGAGGAAGGAAAAGGGAAAGGAGAATGTGAAGGAGTAAAAGAGGAGGGAGAGAAAATATATGTAGAGGAGGAAGGAGAGGGAGAAGGATTAGAGTACTGTTTACTTTCACCACTGATCCTGGCATCGCCGTCTAATTTCGTTGGAAACGACTATTTTAACATCTAGGAACGCGTGTTGCATACCTCCTCAGTTGAGGGCGAAACATACCGTTGACAATCAAGCGTATACTCATCAAAGACTCCCAAGCCAGAGAACATGGCTCCCATTAGTGTTTCCTCTCTTCTCTCCTTATTTAAGACTCAAATATCATAATCCTATTCGACTGCCTAGCCCCTAAGTCCAGAGCTCCGTTCCTCAATTGAAACATTTCCAATTTTTTTTTCGACATGCTAGGATTTCATAAAGGTAAAAATCAGCATTATGAATCGAATTTGTTTTGTTTTTTCCTTGCTGGTTTATGGTCACCTTCAAAAATATAAAGCCATAATTTTGATGTGTTTGTCCCCTGAATATCAAAGTATACACAGAAATGTTCGAACTAACTTTAACTCAATAAGTTTAAGAAGCCCATAAAAAGTAGAGTTTATCGACGGCTGAAGGAAAATACGGATCTCTGGTACAGTGATTAAAATCTTTGACAATGTTTAATTTTTTGAAATATGAAACTAACCACAGTACCCACTAGAAATTATCTGCGGTAATCTTTTCAATTGGTCGTAACGAATCAATTCCAAAGTAATAGTGCGAAACTTTCCTCTCTGCAGAAAAAAGTGAATATTCCATGGGGGGGGGGTGGCAAGATTTGACATTTGACATTTCCTCTCTAATAGCATCTTTGGCAATTAACCTGCATATTTTATGACACCCAGGGAGGACGGAATTTTGCAATAAAGAATAACAGTTTCTAGCTCATTTTAGAAACAACATATGTCATATGTCCTCTGAATATTTCTACGCAGGCGGATGCTTCCTCTTCTCCCCTTCTCCTTCCTCTCCTTTTCTTCTTCTCCTTTTTCTTTGTCTGCGTTCTCCCTCCTAACTCCCTCTTCTATTTTACTTCCTCTTCTTTCCCGTCTTTATGCCTCTTTTTCTTCCTCTTCCTTCCCCATTTTAACACTCTCCATGCAGGTAGGTGTTTCCAGGCATGAGCCAAAAATATCAGTTCCTTGTCGAAAAACGGGACGGGAGAAGAGTGCTAGGTCCACTTCATTCTGCGGGAAAAACAAGGCCAAATCAAAATTACAAAAATTTCAATCAGAGTCAAAAATTTGAGCACTCATTTTTGGCAATATTCTTGACCTTGCTTTCTAGCAGACTAGTGTGGACCCAGCACTCTTCTACCATCCCCTTACTTGCAGTTCGGGTTGAATTTTTAGTCTTATTCTCCTGCAAATTGCGAAATGCAGTCCAGTAGCTTTACCTCTTGACGACGAGATCGAGGTATAGTTCTTGAGGTAGTCAAGATTTGAGCTTTGACATTTGCTCTCTAATATCATCTTTGGAGTTTAACCATCGTACTTTATGACACCATAGGTGGACGGCATTTTGCAATTAGGGATTACTGTTACTAGCTCATTTTAAAAACAACATATGAGGACTTATCTGTAACAATAACGGATGTGAAAAATTACCTTTTCGAAATACATTCAAAGAACTGATTTGGCATCGAGAAAATTTTGAGAAAATACTTGAGATGTGGTCTGTGAGATCTGTACATTATGCCAGAGCCAAACATATTAAATTTTTGTGTGAAAAAAAAACAGTTTTTTAAGCGTGTTTCGAAAAGGTAATTTTTCACATCCACTATTGTTACAGATAAGTCCTCATATGTGCTCTTAATTTTTCTCCGCCGAGCGATGCATTTTCCTTTTTTGACCCTGTTTTGGAGTTCGGGTCGAATTTTTAGTCTTTTTCTCCTGCTAATTGCGAAATGTAGTTGAGTTGCCTTTACCTCTTAACGACGAGATCGAGGTAGTTCTTGAGGTTGTCGAGGTTCTGGACGTTGCCCCACTTCTGGTGGACGGGGAGCCAGAGGGAGTCGCCGTAGCGGTCGACGACGTCCTCGTCGTTGTAGGAGATGATGAGCCGGCGCCCGGAGTTCCAGATGTCGCCCACGCTCGCCGCCCAACTCACCGAAGCCGGCACCAGGTAGTCCCGGAAGTGAGCCAGCAGGTACTTCACCAGGCTATCGTGCGGCAAGTTCTTTTTCGACTTGAACCCTGCAAATCGGATCCACGCAATTAGTCGTACTAAAAATAGGCATCGATCCTTATTTCTTCGGTTAAGTATAACGACAGAGTAAGACCGCAATCACACACTGAAAACAAATTCTCGGCGTTTTTACCAAGGTCCGTTGGTACCTTTACCATCTCACTTTTTTTTACCAATTATTGGTAATTTTACCAAGACAGACTACTGGTAAGCCTACCTAAAAACCGGTATTTTTACTGTTTTTTCCAGGTAAGAATACCACTTTTATTGGTAATCAATTCCCGGTAACTTTGCCATTTTATCTCGGTAATTCTACCACAGTCGATAAAAAATATTGGCGTTTTTACCAAGGTCCAGTAAAATTACCGAGAAAGTTCAATAATTTTACCGAGATTTCTCGGTAAAATCACCAATTCCATAAATGGTAATTTTACCAAGAAAAAACTGGGATCAAATAGAACCCTGAATTCTTGGTAATTTTACCCTTTTCTTAGTAAATACACCGAGATTTTTTTTTCAGTGCATATCTCGTTTGCGGGTGTCTGAGAATCTCCGCCTCTATGTTACTTTTTTAAAGGAGAACAAATTGACATCACTCCTTGAAGTTCATGCAGAATTGTATTCGCACACAGAAGAAAAATCACGGCAGTTTTAAAAAAATGCCGTTGAGTAATTTTCCATTTAAAAAATAAAGTATGACAGGAAATCTGCGACCGAGTTATTATGTGATTGCCGACTGACACCGTCGATAAACGAGAAATATATCTGCCAACCTCTTTCCCTCGGTTCGATCTTGATAATGTGATCGGTGATTATGTTCTAATTTTGCGGGGTTTTAATCGATTTTCTTGAAAAATCTATTTTTCAAACGAAAAAATCACTTAAATCGCATCTATATCATTGGGTACGATACGTTGTGTCAATCGATCTTTGCAACAAACAACTGTACAAACTTTTCGATCCCAACGAAGCAACAAAAAAGGCAGACATGTTTAGTGTTTCTTACCTTCTACCTCTTGCAGCTCATATGTACATATACCTTAACCGGCAGATTTAGGATGCTAAAGAGTTTAGTTTGGGTGACGTTTTTCGCCCTGTCTGCCGTGCGTCTCTGACGCACACTCTTTTACCGTATTTTTTTCTCCAGCGACATAGTACAGAGACTAATCTCTTATTAAACTCACCGACTGGAAACTCGTGGAAATCCAAAAGGATGATTTCTTGTGTGTTATCCAGGAACTGTTTGATATCATGAATGACCTCCCTCAAAGGATGAGTCCTGCTGAGTCCGTGGTTGACCCACCAGGTGTCGCTGGAGGACCGGTTGTAATTACCAACTCGCAAATCGAAGTACCGAGCACCGTAAATCATCTGTCCTAAGATTGTTTCGTCCTTTAAAAAAATACGAGAAAAGGAAATAAAATGTTCCTATGCCTTGTCAAAAAGAAAATATTTCACAGTTAAACATCGGCGGAAGAGTAGATGTGCATACAATGAATGAAGAGACCTTGATGCAACGATAAAGAGTTCCTCTAGGCGAGTTCTTAAATACTCTCATGTGTTTTGCACCTCTTCCCATCCTGGAGTTCAAAGTGAGAGGACTCTACATCGTTTCCCAGACAAGAGGATGTATCAACATTTCAACACTGCGAGTTTTCTTCCAGAGTCCACATTTTAACTAGATGTTTATGGCAACCGCTAGGCATTTCATACGGAAAATCTCACAGATTTTTCTTCGGACTACAAGAAAACATCAGCGAAATTTTGGAGAAATTCATGTGCTTTGTAAATCCTTAAGTTTGTACGGAATCACCTTAATATTTACAAAACGCACATTATATTTTCCTTTACTACATATTTTTTTTCATCAATTAAAATGAGGTTGATCCATACAGAGTGTGCAAACATTCCAAAGTCATGAGTTGAAAATTGCTGACTTCACGAGATTAAATATTAGAGCCTAACACAAAGCAGAGCGGCGGTGCACTGGCGCCTACAAACCTAACAGAGATACTTCACGCATTGCGCAATGCGTGAAGTATCCCGGTTAGGTTTGTAGGCGCCAATGCGCGTTTTGCGTTGGCTGCCCGCCCGCCGCGCCGCTCATTTTAAAAATCCAACAAATTTGCATAGAAGCACTTCGATAACATGTCCACGAGGAAACTAAAACATAATCGGAGATTTTTAAACGTTGCAATGGAGACGTGCATTTTTCATGTTTATGGTTAGTCATCGATGTAGTCTCTGCTTGCATGTCCTCCCCGGAAGGAGCCAGTATGAGATTAACTGCACTGGGTGACTTCTGTCGATCAGCGGGTCGATTATTGAATCGCTATCGAATGAGTTTGGTCGATAAATCCCTATCTTCACAGTGCTATATATCGATCAAGGTCATTCGATAACGATTCAAAAATCGACTCGCAGTAGTTGAGTTGTTGAGTGTTTGCGTGCTATGATGAAGTCACACTGAACTACTCTATTGATATGATTACTCTCCACGAAGGTGAATACTGTGAAGCACGGCTCCTCACTGGCGTAGCGTGCTTAGCGATACATCGATTGATTTGCCATTTAAAACTATGGGAAAGGATCGAAAGGCAGGGTGTTTGCAGCGAACACCTTAACTATCGATTCTTTACCATAGCTTCAAATGGAAAAATATCGATAATCGATACGCCACTGGTGTAGCAGTCAATTAACTTGACTGCCGTTCTTACCAATTTCACACTGCAACATCTTAGACCTGCACTGCCGCGCTAAGGAAGAACGTAGGATGACCTTTCGGACGTTGCCAACTTTCGTACGATAGAGTATGAATTTTTTGGGAGACTCGTGAATATTTTTCTTTGATTTTGTCCAATATTTTATTCGCAACCAGATCTACATTATCTGAAAATTTCAAAAGGAAATATTCATAACTCTCCTAAAAAAATAAACATTTTACGCGCCGAAATTTGGCAACTCTCGAATGTTCATGCGTTTTTCCTCAGCACGGCAGTGCAAGTATACGTGCTCGATTGTGCTAGTCGTAGATCTCAGTCAGATGGAGCATGCCGTCTTTATCTTTCCCCTAAAAGAACCAGTGGCGCGGCGAGCTCTGCGATACATCGATTGATCTGCCATTTAAACCAATGGAAAATAATCGAAAAACGATGTGTTCGCCGGCGAACACTTTAATTATCGATTTTTTACCACATATTCAAATAGGGAGATATCGATAATCGATCATTCACGTCTCGCCACTGGATAAAAACATCATAAATAACAGGATCCCTTTAAAACAAACTCGCTCTTATTGGTGAATTCCGTATTGGAATTACTGTCACTTAGTTCCGGGTGCTTTTATTGGACTTACCTGGGTGTAGACATATTTCTGATAGAGGTTTTCGCCGGTATGAGGGTCGTACTCGGTATATGCACCGGAGTCATGGGTGCCTGGCAAGAACGTATTCCTCAATTGCATTCCCGAAAGCGATGACTTCATCTCCTCCATCCATCGTGGGTTTGTGTGTAAGCAGTTGGTTGCTTCCGCTGCCATTGAAAAGATAATAAAACATAAGAGTGACAACAATGGAACTTAACGATAAGGTCAATTCTTGAAATCTTGAGTGTTTTTTCTTCTCAATGCGAAGAAAACTCTAAAAACAAAAAATTAATTTGATTTATGCTCTTTAAAAAAAATAAAATGTGAGCGGAAATTTTTAAACACCGCAAACGAAATACCACGTATTTCCTCGTTTCACCGTCGAAATTCATTTAAAATTGAAAAGTTTCAAACAAACTTATAAAGAAACGAACAACTGAACTTTCTGAGATGGAAACATGAACCCTAATGTTAAATTCTTATCGCACAGTGTCAGTGTACTGTGTACTCTGCGACATATTAAATTTGAAATGGCTGATTTTACACTTGTTTCATCAAAAATTGCACTTGAAACCCTCATTTGTAGTAACTCCCATGCATGGCTTTCTGATGTCATTGCTCATGGGTTTAAGCACTAGTAGTATTGCTTTTGCATTCTTGGCCATGATAGGGTTTTAGAAAAAGTACCAGAGATCAGTCCCGCTGGGCACTGACTTGACACTTATCAAAACTAACGTTCGCGCTTTTCAAATGACGTTGAGGGTCCTTTGCAAATGACCTAGATATTATTTACCACTGACCTCACAATCAGTGTCATGCCTGTATCTCAAAGGTAAATCATAGCTAAATCCGAAAACATTGTATCTCATTGGTTATAGTCATAAGGCGAGGCATACTACATTCTTTAATTGAAAAACTAACACCAACGTGATTGCTTCAAAAAAAAATAATCTGTGACCTTTTCCTGTTTGAAATTTATTTTTTCTCAATTGATAAACTTGCCTATACTCCCTTAAAATATGCTAAATGAAAGAGGAAAGTCGGAAATGCCGCAATTTAAGTATGCACGGGGTTTCCGAGTTTTTAAATTAAGTACTTCTTGCCATTCATGCCAAGGGAAGCTTATCAGTGGATGGCAGAGCTAGTTTAGCCGGAGTGCCATGCCGGTGTGCTGCTCCCCAGGTCCCCCTCAGCAATTTTTTCCCCTCATTCTAGATCCTCTACGGGTCTCTAGAGTCGATAAGACGACTTCAGAGAGCCCCTAAGACTGGAATTTTGGGCGTCATCGGGCCGAAAATTCCGGGTGCTGGAGCCGTAGCGTCGATTGCTCCGGGTTCAGAGGCCGAAGCTACGGCTCCGGCAGCCGGAATTTTCGGCATTTGAGCCCGGAACGGACGGTATGTCTATATAGCCCGTAATTGCGGCTCCCACGGCCAGTTTTTTTTTTTTTTTTTTTTTTTTTTTTTTTTAGTAAATGCAATTACCCGCTTCCACCGGTAAGATCCTTCCTATCCTTTTTGTCCTCTTTGTCTATAGCTCTGTCTGTCTATCAATTTCAACAAATCAGCCTGTTCGGCCCCTGAGCGCTAATCCAGCCGTGAGTGGAATTACCTGTGTCGTTGTTGCCAGCGCGGTAGTAAGCGACCCAGTATCCGAGGCATTTCTTGTGGTAGCCAAGTTGGTCGGGTTCGGTGTGATTCTCGGTGAAGACGGTGCGGTGCCATCCGAGGGGTTCATCGACGGGGACGCCGATGAGAAGGTGTGGGGGAGAGTCGAGGGGGTGTCCGAAGTAGAAGCCCACCCAGTCGCCCGGCGTGACTGTCTCTGTCTCCCAGAAAAACTGGAGCTCCCGGACGGCCGACTTGCTCACAAGTGGCGACACCACGATCTCCACGTGCGTCCGTCGACATCCTATTGTGAAACATAGGATAAGAGACAGATTAGACACAATGCAAATACGTAGCCTAATAAGTTTAGTTGCTAGAAATGGACCACTAGACGAGGTACGAATTTCAGCATTCTGATACATCGTCATCTTCCGGCCAAAGTATCACAAGCGCCATGCGACGTTTCAAAATTTCCACCGCGATTTTATTTTTTTACAGAGAAATTGTTGGTTGAATCTATTTGAAAATTTCATTGAATTTTATCGGCAGTGCAAAGAAAATTCAGTGAAATTTTCGAACTGCTTCGTTGAACAATTTCTCTGTAAAAAAATAAAATGATGGTGGAAATTTTAAAACGTCGCATGGCGCTTGTGATACTTTGACCGGAAGGTGACGACATGGTCCTTGACCAAAATTTCACGTAAAACACGATGCGCACAACGAAAATTACCGAACTCAACTCCTTACGAAGATATTTAATGATTCTTGATGCGTAAATTCAAACCACCCGCTCATGAAAACTCAATACTCTACGTGATTTACATCGCGCGCTAAACGTGACAGTATCATCACAGACAGTATCATGACAGTATCTGCGATTTAAAAATCTGGCAACCTCAATTTTGACGCTTTGGCTCAGCTATAGCAAATTGCTTATAGTTTGAACAACACATGGTGGGAAATGAACATTGCTCGTTTGAGAAGCTTGCTGAAACCGTTGTAGTGCGCGATTTGACTCACGTACCCTGGTAAAAATTGGCGTTAGGAGCTACGTTTCAAAATACCGTAGGAGTTCGTATGGCCGACTGAAAAAGGCGATAGAAAATCATTTAGCTGGCTGTAGAAAGTGGAAAAAATCTTACAGCCGGGCTACACGAAGCGATAAAAAATTATACAACCGGGCTATAGTTCCTATCGCCGGGCTTTACACTTTATCACCTGGCAGTTGCTTTTTCGCCATCGACTATAAAAGGCTATAAGAAATTGTGTAGAAATTCGTGTGCTTTGTAAATCCTTAAGTTTGTACGGAATCACCTTAATATTTACAAAACGCACATTATATTTTCCTTTACTTCATATTTTTTTTCATCAATTAAAATGAGATTACAGAGTGTGCAAACATTTCAAAGTCATGAGTTGAAAAACACTGACTCCGCCAGATTAAATATTAGAGCCTAACACAAAGCGGAGCGGCGGTGCTCTGGCGCCTACAAACCTAACAGGGATACTTCACGCATTACGCAAAGGTTTGTAGGCGCCAATGCGCGTTTCGCGCTAGCTGCCCGCCCGCCGCACTTTTTGCTATATCAAAAAATACGTGTTTTAAGTTTCAGAATCACATGGAGCCCTGTAGCAAAAAAAAGTTTGAACTCCACTACTTGATGCTTAAAGATTTTATTTTAGTGAGGAATTTTTCACGGGGTACATATATATTTTAAGACTAGTTTCAGTTGAAATCGTTAAGGTGATTCGACGGACGCCATATTTTGTGTCAGAACGGCATGTGATATATCGCATCAATTGGTTCTATTTTTTCAGCTACTCGTCATTTTTCTCGAATTTTGAGATCGCAATTCTGTTGTCAGGAGACTAAAGCACTCACTTACGAATTTTAACAAAGAAATTCAACGTAATAAAGGCGTGGTTTTTTTAGAGAGAAAATATCGCATTCGAGTGCAGTTTCGATATCAGTATCGAATGCGATGTTTTCTCTCTAAAAAAACCACGCCTTTATTACGATGAATTTCTTTGTGAAAATTGGTAAGTGCGTGCTTTACTATCCTGACAACAGAATTGCGATCTCAAAATTTGAGAAAAATAACGAATAGCTGAAAAAATGGGACCGATTGATGCGATATATCGCATGCCGTTCTGACACAAAATATGTCGTCCATCGAATCACCTTAAAATCTCAACTTTCATCAAAAACTGCTCTTGTGCGCCCTGTCCTCAAGTGGTGTCAGAGGGGCCCAACTCGAAGTGGATGAGTCGATGAGTAAACTCGTGTGGACGAAAACGAGATCATTATCTAATAATTGCAATGCGGGATCATGCGGGCGGAGAGTAGGGAACGGCATGCGGCAGCGTCCTTTTCCTTACCCTGCTCCGGCATAGCCTCCCTGTTGGTAGATGATGCACTCTATGCTGCCGTGCTAAAGAGGAGCGCCGTATGAACGTTCGACAGTTGTCAAATTTCCTTCGATAAAATGTTTATTTTTGAGGTAAATTATAAATATTTTTCCTTGAAATTTTCTAGAACTTTAGGTGAAATCGCAAACAAAATTATCTGTAAAATTGGAGGAAAATAACCATACGTTTATCAGAAAATTCGTGTTTTATCAAAGGAAATTTGGCAACGCCTGAAGGTTTACGCGGCGTTTTTTCTTAGCACGGCAGTATGCATCTGGATTTGACAGCGGCAGACACGCCGACGCCAACCTTCGCCGCGTCGCACTGTCACCGATGCGTGGGGCATTTCGGGATTTGCGCGCACTATCCTACCATGCGAAGAAAAAAAGCCGGATAAGCCCGGAGAAGTTGCCAAACTTTCCTCGACTCATCTCAAATTGTTAGTATTTGTTGATACTTTTCCTCCGAGTTTTCAGAGAATGTTGTTCATAATTTATTTGAATTAAAGTGTCTGGAAGTCGCGAGGAACATCGCAACTTCTGCGATGGACTCAGTGCTTATATGCTATGGAACGCACGGAAACGGTAAAATCTGAATTCTGAAACTTTCAAGAAAAAAAAATCGACTTTACTTTATGGAATTCTTGAGTAATTGTTGCGGGTTGCATACGCAGCTCTTGTTAAATCGTTGAAATTATAGAAAAAGGAAAAGTGAGGGGCTTGGAAGGAACATGCATGGGACGAGTGCTGTTTATTTTTTCAATTTTATTTTTTTAAATTGAGATATTAATGAATTCAACTAAAACCAATCTTAAATAATCTGTAAAAAATTCACAACTAAAATCCAATTTTTAATCATCAAAAAGTAAGTTTGAACCTTCCTTCCACCATAAAGTTCCATGTAATTATACAACTTCAAACAAGTATGTCTCGAAATAGAAACTGCACTTATTCCACGTGCCCTCCAAACCCCTCACTTTTTGGAAGCGAGACCTTGGTGGCTTGCATAGTTCCACCCATGTGCTCGTCAGCATCGAGCCAACTATAATCTGCCGTGCTAAAGGCCTCCATACACACGGCGATTAATCGCCTTGTATCTAGGTCTTAAGGAAGAACGTCGTTTGAATATTGGTGAATTGTCATATTTCCTTCGATAAATTAGCGGCTCTGGTACTTGCACTAGAGCTGCTATTCCGGACGGTCCCAGCTGGGGAGTATCAATGGACCATGTTACATTGGAGAGACCGCGCGTTGGTTGATGGGAATCGGCGCCATTTTCGACTATGTACCTTGTCATGACTTTATTTTATAGACCGTATTCGATAACGGTTCGATGTATCGTTTGGTTCAAAACAATAGAACATAACCTCAAACCAAACCGTAAGGATTTTAATTGGAGAAGCTGAAAATGAGAAATTTCTTGACAATTTCACTTTGCATTGGCATTTGGTACTCAAAAGAATAAAAAATCTGTTTCAAAATATCCGTTCTCTCAGATTTCTGAATTTACTTTTGAGGCTATGTTTATGTTTTGAACCAATCGATATCGATACAATCTCACCCGTTTGATGTATCGAATACGATCTATTGCATATTGTTGTTTTATTGTTAGCCAATGCTATGTTGTGTAGTGTATTTTTGGAATCATGGTGATACAGTCAATAATTCAAAACTTGTCTGTGCTTTAATCTCGTGATGGAAAAAATGTACTTTACGTTCAAAATTTGAAATTTTGAATTTTAAAGTTTTCGCGGTTTTTTGAAAGAATGCAGTGGTTGGAGCTTCCTAGNTAGCTAGAAAGACTCCATTTTCACTCTACTTTTCGAATCCGAAAAGACTTTTTGAGTGATAGACAATTTCATATAACTTTTACTCAAACGAACCGTGCGCAAACAAAATTCTCTGTAAAATTGGAGGAAAATAACCAAACGTATATCAGAAAATTCGTGTTTTATCAAAGGAAATTTGGCAACGCCTGAAGGTTTATGCAGCGTTTTTTCTTAGCACGGCAGTATGCATCTGGATTTGACAGCGGCAGACACGCCGACGCCAACCTTCGCTTCGCCGCGTCGCACTGTCACCGATGCGTGGGGCATTTCGGGATTTTCGCGCACTATCCTGCCGTGCGAAGAAAAAAAGCCGTATAAGCCCGGAAATGTTGCCAAATTTTCCTCGACTTATCTCAAATTGTTAGTATTTGTTGATACTTTTCCTCCGAGTTTTCAGAAAATTTTGTTCGTAATTCATTTGATTTAAAGTGTCTGGAAGTCGCGAGGAACATCACAACTTCTGCGATGGACTCAGTGCTTATATGCTATGGAACGCGCGGATTGGTAAAATCTAAACTCTGAAACTTTAAAGAAAAAAAATTCGACTTTTTTTTATCGAATTATCGAGTAATTGTTGCGGGTTGCATACGCAGCTCTTGGTAAATCGTTGAAATTCAATAGAAAAAGGAAAAGTGCCGGCAAGAAAAGGAAAAGGGAAAGTACCGGGCTTAGAAGGAAGGTGCATGGGACAAGTGCTGTTTATTTTTTTATTTTTATTTTTTTAAATTGAGATATTACTGAATTCAACTAAAACTAATCTTAAATAATCTGTAAAAAATCACTACTAAAATCCAATTTTAAGCATCAAAAAGTAAGTTTGAACCTTCCTTCCGCCATAAAGTTCCATGAAATTATAGAACTTCAAACACGTATGTCTCGAAATAGCAGAAACTGCACTTATTCCACGTGTCCCTCAAACCCTTCACTTTTTGGAAGCGAGACCTTAGTGGCTTGCATAGTTCCACCCATGTGCTCGTCAGCACCGAGCCAACTATAATCTGCCATGCTAAAGACCTCCATACACACGGCGTTTAATCGCTGCGAGTGAAAGACGAAAGCCAATGGAG